CTACATCACTTTTCTCCCCAAAACGCGTACAACTCCGGCCCAAGATCACAGCCACACATCGGGTGCTAGAATTTCACCTATCTATTTTCTTCTTGGGAAGGATTTTTTGGTACGTATTGTTGAGTGTACCTACAAAAATTATTTTAGTGCACAGAGAAGATTTGCCTGAGTAAGAACTAGCCAAGCAGGTATGATTTCTAGTTACAAAAAAGGAGATGGTTTTAATATTAAGACGTTAGCATTCAACATGTGCATTAAACCCTTAATAAGCGTTTCCGAGGACTTAATGTAATTCAGTGCAGGAAATCTACCATCCCCACTGAACCATCGAGTCTCTAGGACCTATAGTTTTAGGAAAGGCACCAGGATTCTACCTACCTGATGATGGTGACCTCAGGACCACTGGGCTTATCCCAATACCAGCTCTTTCAAAGACCGGTGTGAATTTGGAAGCATTGTCTTTGCCTTTCTGAAGATCCCTCGGTCACGGTGAAAAGCTCCATGGCTTTTTAATACAGAACAAGGTAAGTTTCCAGGAGTAACCGACTTTCATAACTATCACACAAATACACAAATTCTGGGTGACGTGATCCATGGCTCCCCGAGAGCCGTAGTTGTGAGACGGCCGCTATTCCCTGGAGTGGGAGCGGGAGCCGATACAGTCTCCAGTATCGCAGCATGGGAGGCGGGGGCTGATGCACGAACACCCATGATGAAGGAGCTGCTTTGTAATAGCACAGATGGAGCCAGAATTCACAGAGTTCTAGTGACACCAGAAAGTAAGACACAAAAATTCCAGATGGAGCCTTCCGAGCGACAGGTCGGACCTCCCTGGTCCGGCACCCTCAGGGCCTGACTGGTCCTGGCTGAGGGATTTTGCCAAACCAGGGGAGGTAGTTTCTAGCCCCACGGCTGCCAGCCCCACCCCTTGCTCGGTCACCCCACTTCCAAGCTTCCTAGTTCCTGCCCCTTCTCCCCCATCCCGCAGCCCAGCTGGGCCATGTGCCGGGCTCCTGCCATCCCACCCCGCATCACGCCAGGCTCTGCGCCCCTACGCCAGCAATGCACCAGGACTCTCTGATCTCGGAACATCCATAATCCTGCTGGACCACGGATATTGCCAGACCAAAGAGTCCCGATTTATAGAGGTGCAGATCTGTGCTCCCAGCGCTGCAGCCTGGGTCACCTGGTGCTTTCACAACGCTGTAACTTGCTGTGCTTAGGGGGAGGTATTTGCTCATACCCCCGCACCAGAAAGTTACAGCGTTGTCAAGTGCCAGTGTTGACTTAGCCTAGGACCTGGCCCTGCAGAACTGTGCTCACACTGGTAGCCGGGGCTGACGAGAGTCGGTCCATTAAAGCCTGCGGAGAATGCACACAAGAGGTAAACCCCTTTGTGCGAGTGAGTTTGCAGGAGCAGGACAACAGCGATTCATGAGAAAACCGACAACTCCAGAACAAGAATCAAACAGCTACACCAACTTCCACAACAAGAAGCGCGACTGAACGCCAACGAGGGATGCGGAGAACTAGTCGACTATCCAATAAGCGAATGCTTATTGGATAGTCAACAGGCTAGTCGACTGTCAGAAAGAGGCAGCAAGGGGTGGGTGGAAAGTAGGGGGTACTTCAAAGGGGCAGTGCTTCTTGGAGCCCTGGGCTGCTTGGAGCCAGACCCCAGGCTCCACACAGCACTGCTGCTCTGAAACACCACGTGCAGCCCAGGGCCAGCTGGGGTGTCCCCAGGCTACATGTGGCGTTTCAAAGTGGCAGCGCCACATGGAGCCCGGGATCAACTGGGGAGTCCCAGTGTCAGGCTCCTTGTGGCATTTCAAAGCAGCAGCAACACATGGAGCCCAGGGTCAGCAGGGGAGTCCACAGGTGACCCTGGGCTCCACACCGTGCTTTCACCTTTGAAGTGTAGCAACAGCCCTAGGGCTGCCTACACTTCAAAGGCAGAGGCACCCATCCACTAATCAAATAGTCAATATTTACCATCCTTAACTCCAACCCTGTTCTATTAGTTTTTGAAATAGAAGCTGCCTAGCCTGGTCAATTTAAAACAACCCACATTTTGAAAAAACAATGAGGAGTCCTGCAGTCCTTTAGAGACTAACAGATGAATTAGGGCAAATGCTTTCGTGAGCAAAATCCACTTAATCAGCACAAGGGGTGAGGAGGGATCTTCACTGCAGAGAAAGTCACATCTCCTAGAGCACACCCTCCGTGCTTCGCTTTATTCTCCCCCTCCGTTGGGCGAGGATGTAGCCTCCTCCCGCAAAAGCTTTTGAAGTTAAAGTACGCAAGGGAAAAAAAAAAGAGAAGTTACACTTGAGCTACCAGAGTAACTCTGTCCCGCTCCACAGCCAAGCATGACTGCAGGCAACAGAGGCTCCTGTAAGTTGGCTCCATCAGCCACACGGCTTAGAAAACGCATTTCACGCAGATCCCTGGAAGCGGATGCCCAGCGAACACCCAAGTCCGCACAGCAATTTCTACCCCATTGCGGACTCCCACAGGACACCAAACAAAGGAGGCAGGGATATGGTTCAAAAAGCCCAAGCCTCCAGCATTCAAAAGGGCCGTCGCTCTAGCCCTCATCTTTTACCATTGTCCCATTAACATCACGGAGCCTCTGCAAAGAAGAGGAGAAGTGGGCGCGACGGAATTACGACGTTAGGGGCTGATCCTGCAGGCAGGTACTTCCGGGGGATTCTGACTGCACCATACACCAGAAAACGAGGCCGCAGTGATTTCGTAAGGCCCAGATGTTGCTCTGACAGCGCCTTACCCCGCTGCACAGCCTTCCGGAAGGGAGTCGTGCCAGGGTTTGAGAAGAGCGGGCACTTCTCTCCCGTCTCCTCCATTGTTCAGTGCTAACATTCCACAGAGGTACTTAATATTGTTCAGTATTGACAATGAGACAATTGTCTTTCAGGCAAGACACCCCACCCCCGTACTATGGTTATAAGTTATTTAAGCTTGCGTAGGCACTTGTAATGAGCCATCACAAGGCTGGGCAGCTGTACAGTAGGATCTTTACACTGTATTTTCCCTGGATAGATTTTTGCAACTTTTACTAAAAGGAGTTTAAGAGGCCACTGTTAGGGGCTTAAAATGTTGCCTATTTTTGTCACGTTTAATGCTGGCTCCCACAGGCAGCCCCTCCACTGTCTTAAGCAAATGATTTTGGGCAAGAAAACAGTCTGCAATCCAGTTGCAAAAATATCCCTTTGCTGTGTTTGTTTCAGCAAGCTGTACTCGCGTTCGTCTCTGGGTGTTACAAGGACAGGAGGTTTGCCTAAGCATTCACTGGAAGGAGTTCCAAAGACTGTAGTGTACTTAGCAACAGGATTTGTACAAGTAAAAGTTTAGATTTCAAATAGCCGTGGAAGTTGAGGGTTACAAAGCGACTTAGATCTAGACTCCTCTCTGTCAAGGCCGGACACTTCCCCCCTTACATACCTGGGAGAGTTTTGCTGAGTCTGGCACAGTGGTTTTCAACCTTTTCTCATTTGCAGATTCCTAAAAACAATTCAGATGGGGATACAGAGGCCTCTGGAAATGTTAGACACAGTCTGCAGGCTTCCAGAGGCCCACATACCACAGGTTGAAAACCACTGGTCCACAGTTAAGGACACCAAGCAATGGAATTTTCCATGTCTCCCTGGGTAGGACTCTCCCAGTAGATACTGTTAAAAAGTTTGCTCTAGTCGCCTAAAGTCCTCTAATACACAGCCTGGGACTAGCCTACATTATCCATCTCCCTCCTTCTAGGCTAGGCCCTTCATGCATTGGTAGCTTCAGGTGACTTGCAGGGTGTTCCAGATAAGGGTTATGAAGGTTTTATGCTCCACTTCTACCTGCCTTTTTTTTTATCTTGTTCTGATTTGAAGAGATCAGTTCTGGTCACCTTATTTCAGAAGAGACCCATACGCCAGGAGTTACACCAGAGCTGCCTGGTGCGAGTCTTATTTTGCTTCTACGTTATGTATACCCAGGGCCGGCCCCAGGCGGGGTGCGGGGCCTGGGGCAACCCCCCCCTCTGCTTCAGGAGCCCTCCCCTGCTTCCCATTGCCATAGGGAAGTGGAGCGATCCAGCTGGCAGATGATCGTGGGGGGAAGCAGGCTGCTGCGTGCCTCTGTTTGCTGCAGCTCCTGTCACTACGAGTGCTGGAGAAGGAGGGAGAACTCTGCTGCTGCCCCGTGCCAGGCCCTTAGGTCAGTGTTTCCCAATTTTATTTAGCCATGGAACCCTTTAAAAAAAAAAGCCGGGAAAAAATGGGCGACCCAAAGAAAAGAAAAAAAAAGCAGGGGGAAAAAAAAAAAAAAAAAGCAGCAAGCAAGCTGGCTTGCCCCTAAGACCAGATCGCGGGGGTGGGGGAGCGATCAGGTTCTCGCAGAACCCTTACTTTCACTTCGCAGAACCCAGGGGTTCCGTGGAGCACTATTTGGGAAACACTGCCCAGGTAATCCCCAGGCTGCCGTGGGCCCCACTGGCTAATATCAAATATGGGGGTCTGTCTCCTCCATAGGACAACTGGGGTGGTTGCCGTGGGCCCTGAACCATCCTATGGATATGAGAGTTCTGTGTATACCGACTCCAAAGGGACCTCTCACTCTAAGCTCAGAGATACCGTCCCCTCTCTCCGGCCTGTCACTAGAACTTTGCTCCTTCCTGTAGACTTGGTTCTTCCTCGCCACCACCCAGATGCATTGGGCGCACCTACCACCCAACTCCTCTTCAGCACTTTCCTTTCCACGCACGTTACAAGGGGTATCATACGTATTTTATGGCATGTGGAAACTGAGGCAGAAAAGTGACCCCGCTTACCCCCGGTCACCTGAGCAGGCTACTAAGAGAGGTAGGAAGAAAACACAGATCTGTGCTTCAGTCCAGTTTCCTGCCCTGTCCAATCACACAACTGACAGCGTGCAAGGCAAACCTCGGTCTGCTCATGCCGTCAGTAACCGACTCAGAGACGTAGTGGTTATTTTACCGTGTATAATTTCCCCAGCTTTCACATCTCTAGCACCATCTCTGTCTGGCTGGGAGCCTTCAATTCTGCACCAGTCAATGACTCAGTGTATGGGTTAACACAGCTGTAAGGAAGGCTTTGAAAAGAAAAAGAAGAAATCCTGTCATGGTTGTGACCCCTTATAACTGTATTTAATCAGATTACAGAATTCCACCAGACCAGCTCCAACTATGGTCAAAGGAATTTGTTCCAAATATTTGCAACAGATGGGCCCGTGAAAAGTTTGCCGTTACTGTGGCGGTGGGGGGAGGTGGGTAGGTCTGAGGACAAACTATTTCAGAGCCAGCCCTGGCAGGGAGGACAGCCGGATGTCCAGTGGTAACTCCTTGTTGGGTGTGACAGAGAAAGAGAACACTCCCCATCCACCACCCCCTGCCCGGATTTCATAAAACCAGCTGCAGGAGAGGCAACCCAGAACTGACACACATCCTAGCTAACCCCTAGCTGATAAGCAAAGATTGGTTTTGGTGGGACTGCTCCCTGGGAATACGTTAAGCTTCCGTCTGCGCGAAATGCAGGCGTGCCTCAGTTTCCCCGAAGATACACTTAGGTCTTTGCTTGCTGCAGCCTTGAGTGCATTAAGAGCGAGCTGCGGCCAGGGCTCGGCAGCCGTAGGGCCCGCACATGCCCCCCCTTCCCCTTTCCCAGCTGGGTCAAACACTAATCCATCCGGAAGCTGCAGCCAAAGCCAGCGGCGATTGCTACTCAGCGCTCCCCCGGATCTGGGCAGCAGCCTCCAGCGGGATCCCCAACGAGGGACACGAGTGGGAGCCCAAGGCGTGGCGGGAGCAGCTCCCCAGCAGCCCAGAGGCGGGGGAGCGAGCAGGAGGCTGCCCCCGGGCAGGCAGAGGATGGAGGAGGCTCCGTCCGCCGTGCCCTGGGTCCGGACCACTGCGCCTCTCCCCGGCCCGACTGCACACGTCGCCATTCCGCACCGCCCGGGGCGCAGCACGGTCCCAGGGACTCCCCCCCACCCCGCGATCTCATCTCAGACCCAACCGCGTAGGAAAGCGGCGGCTCCGCAGCCCGGGCACGGATCGCCCCGGGGAGGGAGGCGAAAACTCCGCCTTCAATTGCTCTGCAAACTCCCCCGCCACGTTTTAATGCCCGGCCGGCCGCCTCCCCCCGGGAGCCCACGACAGGGGGAGGCGTGCACGCTGGGCCGGGGCACGTCCTCTCCCCGCCTGACAGCCAGCAGCCGCACCAGTGCCCACCGTCCAGCGCCCTCCTCCAGGGGGCCGCCTCCCCGCGGCTCCCCCCAACCCGCTCCATGCAACGATCCAGCCCTGGCGTAAGGCTTCCGCGAGGCATTTCAGCCCCTGGAGCCCTCCAGCCGAGCAACGTCAGCTGGGCTGCCGCGTAACCTTTTCCTGCTCCAGCTGGGAACGTGGCCGGAGTCGCCCGGCGCATCCCCGGGGAAACGGAGCGCTCGCGACCGAGAGGGGCAGAGGGATGCTGCAGGCAGGCACGGCGGGCAGCGCGCTTTACACAGCCGAGAGGGAGATTCCCTGAGATCCGTCCCGGTACCGCTCCCCTCCGTCCCCGCCACCCTCCTGGGGTGTCCCCGCCCGGCGTTCTTTGGAACGCCGGAGC